GGGGTGAGCTCCCATTGCTTGGTCCCTACTCCTGCCAACCTAGCAGTTCGAAAGCACGCAGTGCAAGTAGATAAATAGGTACCGCTCCGGCAGGAAGGTAAGCGGCGTTTCCATGCACTGCTCTGGTTTGCCAGAAGCGACTTAGTCATGCTGGCCACATGACCCGGATGCTGTACGCCGGCTCTCTCAGCCAGTAAAGCGAGATGAGCGCCGCAACCCCAGAGTCGTCCGTGACTGGGCCTAATGGTCCCTTTACCTTTACCTTTTAGCTACAGAATACTAGATTCTTAGCAGCTTTAGCAAACAAGAGGAAGAAAAGCTGAATTATTTGATATTAATAATTCACACTTGGCACATTTGGTTCCAAAATATTGAATGTAAGGGAAACCATGCAATCAGCAGCTCTTAACAGCAGTCACACGTTAGTAATCTGGTGTAGGTGGCAGTTTCTAGAACCAAGACAGAATTTTGTTGGAGCTACATATGTTAAGATAAGTGTAGTCAGGCATTGGAATTATGCATAATTCTCAATTAGGTAGAGTATGTGGGTGTCTAGTGTTTTGATAGCTTAATAACTCTCAAGTTCCAATTTGGGTTGCCTTGAATAAGTGACTTCATGTTTTGGCCATTTAAATCAACTTCTGTTAAGTGTATTAAAACAGAAAGCACAGTTCAGATGTGAAGTTTATAGAAGGAAGAATGGCTTGCACTTCTGAGTTGAGCATCAAGGGTCTTTCATGTAGCAAAATAAGATTAGCTGAGACACTGTGATGCTATGTCAGACTAGCAGTTTGAAGTGGACGATACTCATGCCACGTTACAATCTTCCTCTCCCAGTTTGCTCCCACAATGCAACTTGGAAGAGTTGGGTCTAAGGGAAAGTGGCTTTCTTGAAATACAGAAAAATAGAAATAAGAACTCACTGTCATGAAGAATATAAGCTGCACCTTAAATCTTGTGCAATGTACAGTCACTATTCTGTCTTCCCTTGAATTAATTTCCTCTCTCCACCTTCCCACCCTGCAACCCACAAGACTGAGTTGTTAACATTAAGCTTTTTAAAAATATTGGCCCCTATAATATCAAATACATCTGCAGTGTTTAGTCTTTTATTTCTGGAGTAAATTCCAGCACCGCATCAGGATTTTGTTTGTTCACTTTAATATCATTGCAGCTAATACATGGAATTGTTTCTGGGGTGTTACTTACTGTAAACTTATAATAATGTAATAATCAACCAGTGGTGGTATTGTGTTGGACAACAAGGTATTCTGAAAAAAGGACAAACTGGTATAGATTGGGCCAGTTGCTAATGGACGACTTCTGCCATCAATCAACTCTTTGGCACATGTGAACAACCATTACTAGCTAAGATGTAACCATTACATTACTAAGGTGCTGCTTATGAACAGTAGGACAGCTAACCAAAGTTTCTACTCTAACTACCTCATAAGCATCTGGCCCATGGGGCCAAAAAGATTTCATCACCCCTTTTTTATGAGAAGATCTCCAAGGGGTATAGTATAACACATGTATTTCCATTTGCTAAACACATCCACCCACCCCTGTGGTTTAAGTTCTGATTTACCAAATAATCATCCAGTGGTATGTTAGCATTTTTGCACTCTTCTGTGTTCTGTGTTCTGACTTCCTGCATAGCTTTTCTTGATCTGATTGTGTACAATGAGGTCTGTTGAAGGGGAAAACTACAGTCGGCAGTAGAATTGCTTATCTTCAATAGCTCAGAAATTTCCACATTTATTTTTATACTTGAACTTTCTTTTAACCCAGAATGACCATTGGTTTTCTATTATTATATTTAAAGCTTTCTCTTGATATCTTGGACTGGAATGTTTTATGAAGTGATAATTTCTTATCGTTAAGGGGATTTGCTTTCATGTTTGCTTCTGTTATGCACAGAATATCCTCCTTTTAAAGTCTAATGGATTTAAGATCATACATACATACATACATACATACATGTATGCATTCTCTATACCAGTAATAGGCAGGGTCAGAAGCAAACGTGGCCGAAACAATGAATGTGTATTTTAGTTTTGTACATTAGGCTACTTTCTGCATCCATTCCACACTCCTTTCTGTCTTCTATCCAGAAAAACAATAGGCATTATTCAAGCAAAGGCCATTCAAGGACTGCAAGCAGAGAGGCATTATCAGAGTTCAGGGCTGGAGTGGGGCGGCATGGGGCCAGGCTTGTAGAACCATATTTGGTCCATGGCCTAATGCATCCTTGCATGGTTGTTATGCAAAAATGAAGTGAGGATATATTGCATCCTGCCATAAGGCATCAAAGTAGGGGCAGGAGACAAAAATGCAGTTTCCTTGCGTAAGGGTCATAGAATCATAGAGTTGGAAGGAACCCTGAGAATCATCTAGTCCAACCTCCTGCAGTGTAGGAATATGCAGTTGTCCCCTAGGAACATCGAATGTGCACCATGCTCTACCAACTGAGCTATCCACCGCTGATCCATCTAACCAAGTATCATATCAACTGGCAGTGTCTCTCTTGGGTAAATGTATTTCCCATTCCAGCCACCTAAGATCCCAGAAGTTAAGTCTGCTTAATGTGCAGAATAGATGTCAGGATTTGAGCTCTTGCCACCTGCATGCAAAACTAGTATTCAGCCATTGAATTTTGGCTCTTCTCCATGCAGTGGCTAGTACTGGTGGCTGTCAGTCGATCAGGAATCCTTGCCGAAATATAATTGCAGCATCTGTTTCTTCATTTATAATGAAGATGCTTGGAACAAGCTAACTCTACATAAGTCTTGACAGATCATTGTTTTTGCCTTTTTAGGCATTTTAATATGTTCAAAGATTTACTGCAGTATGTAAAGAGCTATAACTTCAAAAAGAAGTAGGTCTCTCTCTTTTTGTCTTAACAATTTTGAGTACATTGTTTGATCTTGCAAAGTGAACTCATAATGTACGTGTAGGGGGATAATGCATACAGCAATTCATCACACTGGGGGGAAATATCCATGAGTCATCTTGGGAAATATGCTTGGAGCATATATGGACCTAGGAATCATCTTGAATCCTCTCCTCATTAATTGTTTTACAGACACACTGATGGTCACTTAAGTGAATTCCATACATATGGAGATGTCTCATGAGGAAAATGAGTGCATTGATTTGCTTTTGCACAGAACTGAGAACTTGCCAGCATGCTTCTAGAATTCCAGGGTTCAGTCCAATGTTTCCCAAACTTGAGTCTCCAGCTGTTTTTAGACTGCAGTCCTCTCTGACCACTGGTCCTGCTAGTTTGGAATGATGGGAGTTGAAGTCCAAAAACAGCTGGAGACTCAAGTTTGGGAAACCCTGGTCCAGTCTCTTATTTGGAGACTTGGGTAGATAAGGGTACAACAGAAAAATACAGCAGTATTGAGAAGGAGCATTTTCTGAGAATGTAAAACTTTGGCACCTTCAAACTACATTTATCATTCTATGTACATTCTATGTACTTGTTCATTGACACATTTGTATTTGTGATTAGCATACCTACAGTATTCCTGAGGTGAGTGCTGCAGACATTTTGGTTATTTTCTTATAGATGAGTTAAGTGATGGCCCAGGTAGAGAGTTTCCCAGTGGTTGTGCTAAATTCCCACTTAGGGAGAGCCACCTGGCCATCACTCTTACCTTTTGGCAGATAGTAAAAAATCTGGCTGTTTTTTCCAGCAGTCGTTTGTATCGGTCATGGTCTGAGATGGAGGTTTCGTGTAAGCTGTCATTCCTGTGTGTGTTACAACTGAGGGGGGTTTTATTACTTCTTTTGAGAGCCATGCTGTAGGAAAGCATTTTATACATTTTTAATATACCCCAAACTTAAAATATATTGGGTGGATGGCAGCTCTCCCTTGCCTTTCCCTCCTCCCACTGCCAGATTGCAAATAGTCTGGCATAACATACACAAACCAGTGTTGCAGAAATTTTATTTCTAGCCTACCCCTTATGAACGATGTCAGTAAAATATTAAAACATAATAAACCAGTGTGAGAGAATAGTCACTTAGATATAAAATACTGTGTTCTACAGTTCCTCGTACCTGCTTAGCAGCATAATCCTATATGTGTAAGTCCAGCTGCATTCAGAAGGGCTGGTGCCCAAAGTAAGTATGCATAGGATTGCTGCTATGCTTTTTAATGGCTGAAATTGTATGTTTGCAGAAAATCCCCAGGTTTAGACTTTTCCAGGGATGGGAGTTCAGGACAGTTACTGAGTGCTTCTGAATGTGACTTGCACTACTCAGTATCATTAACATAATTATGTTATTGTTATAAGTTCTATGTTTATATGCAGCAAATTGATAAGCCTATGCAAGTGGGTGGTGTATTCTGGATGCCTTGTATTTTTGTACCACTTTAGAGTCAATGCTGTGCTTGTATTTCAATTTCCTGATGGCCCATTCCTATCAGGAAGAAAGATGAACCATGTTGCATGATTGTAGTCTAGTCTCAAGAGGTACAAAGGCATGAATGACTTCCCTGCTGCCAATGTGAAATAAAAGCCCAGTCTTCTCCTCAAGTGGAATTGGGGTGGAGGGCGGAAAAAGTTGAATGCTATTACCTGGGTTTTGACATACAGACATATATGTAAGAACACTATAAGACAGCCTTTCATAACCAGGCATCTTCCATATGTTTTTGACTACATTTCCCATCAGCCCCAGCCATCACAGCCATAGGTTGGGGAAGACTAGGTCTCAGTTTTGGACCTCTGGCTAAAGGAAATGTAATATTCCCTATAATCTACCTGATCTTCCTGTTTCTAGATTTCAAGAGATGTGCTGATAATTATCTATTGCTAGCTCTACTGAGAAGCTCTGAACATTTTCTTCTCTTCTGAAGCTTTTTAAAATTAGCAACTCTATCATGTGTAGGTATTGTTGTGAGCAATGTGCTAAATAGTTATTTTAGTGGAATGCTAAACATTTTCCTTTTGAGTTGATACTATTTTGTATATTAAATATATTTGTAGGAAGGGATGAAACAATGGAGTCTGTCAGACCATCTTTCCTTGATTATTTTGAGCAAAAAGAAAAAGAGAATCGGAGAAACAACTATGGAAGGAATGTACCAGAAAGATATTCCTCCGATTGGAGAGTTCCTCAGGATGGTGATTATGAATTCGTAAGTAAAATACTTTTGGCATGTTCTAGAATCATAGTTTGCTTTTCTATTATTATTTTTTGTAGAAAAGGAGAAATAATCCTTAATCCTAGTAAATATTTGAAACAATATAAAGGTGAAAGAAAAAAATGCATAATACTTTATTATTACAAAGAAATGCTTACTTAAAACAGACAATACTGAATTGCTTAAGATGTAGACAAGTAAGAACAACAAATGATTTAACTTGGTATCCTGAATGTATTGTGAGCAATACATAATAATAGTTCAAATTGCCTGTGAAATGAAAATGGTGTTCTGATTTCTAATCATATTTCAATCATAGGGTTTTGTTCAGTGGCGTGGGTTTAAAGCTGCACCACAGTTTAGTTAAATCCTTTTTTTTATTGTACATTTTCTCTTGGTAAGTATATGAGAGCCTAAATGCTAGTTGATTTGGGCTGTTGAGAAGTGTAATTTATCTCCTTTGTGACAATTACCCATACCTTTTTCACACCCCGCCAATCTCAAATAGCATAACGGTAAAGGGAACTCTTTTCCTTTTTTCTTATGCCGTGCTTCTGGCTAAGGAGCTTGAGAAGCTACAGTAATTTTCCTGTTACTAACGGTTGTCAGCTAGGAAATGTGTTCATGGTGATGGGGATTTCTAATGTAGAAGGCACTTGGCAAAAGAAAAAAGCTGAAAATCTTTGTGTACATGGCCATCTCTTAATTACTGCATGGCTCTGCTTGCTGATCACTACTGTCACCTTACCACTTTCAATATGAGAACCCCTCCTATACTCCTTGATTATGTGGAAGGAGAAGGCAGAGTTGGAAGATGGGAGATAATACATGCCCAGGCTACTCATTCCTCCTAACAGCCTGGCACCATGTGTGTATACTGGGAGCAGTTGGTGGAGTAAGCAGGAAAATGGCAGTATTAATTCTGTATGTCAGTCCTCCCCCAACCTGGTGCCCCCCCATATGTTTTTGCTTGGGAGACCCATTATTCCTTATCTTGCTGGTTGGGGCTGATGAAAGCCATCTTAATGAGGATACCGCCATACATGGGCAAGGATCATGCCCTGTTGATATCTAACCAGCAGTTACGTACTTGAGATTTAGTACTGCCATTATAGGCTGTAATACTGCTGAAGGAGCAATGTAATTCCCAGCCAAAGTATGTGTGCATGCGTAGTGTGTCGTATTGGCAAAATGTTTATTCCAGTGTTAAGACACCATCTCCAACCCCTGTCACTAACAGCGTATCACATTTCTTATTACTTTTTCTTTTTTAAAAAGTCACCTTGCCTCCAAAAGCCATTTGCCACATTGCAGAGGCATATAGGGAGCTGCCCAGTCCATTGAGCTGAGAATTGCCTTCATTGACTGGGATCTCAGACCGAGATCTTCACCATAACTTGGCGCCTGATCTCATTAACTGGAAATGCCAAGGATTGGTCCTCAGATACTACTCTCCATGTATTCTACCATTGAACTGTGGTTCCTTCTCATAGTTTTCACCTGGCACTGTCTCCCCCCCCCCCCCATTCCTGCACCATACACATAGCTGTCAACTTTCAGATTTGAAAATAAGGGATCAGCAGCCTCACCAGTCCCGGGGACAGTCTACGGGATATCTAACAATCCGGGATAGCAGCGGGAAATGGCGCTGGAATAAGGGGATTTCCTGCAAAAAAAGGGAAGGTTGACAGTTATGACCATACAGTGGAAACCTTTAAAGACAAAAGTCAGCTCAGCTTACTGTGAACAATTGTTGCAAGCACCACATTGCTTATTTCAGAGGCAGCCTTGTCGTGCAGTATAGCGTAGTATCTGAAAGGATAAAGCAAAATATTTGCATGGATCTCTGCAGGTGATGGCTGTTCCTGTGTGAGAGTTGTGCTTAGAATTTCCAATTACAGTAATCAAAAGCAGTTGCAGTAATTCAATAGCAGAGGCTTAAATACCATTGCACCAGTGCATGTAATTAGTCACGTACTGTAGCAGATTTAAATAAATTATGCTGCCCTTTTTATCCTGAAGGGTTTGCTCATACGGTGTTCCCTCCCCATCTTCGAGCTTACGTATGCTATAGTTTAGATTTTATTACTTGAAGCATTGTCCCTTACATTTTTAATCTTCTTAAAACATCCTTAAGCTAATTGGGTCTCTTTTTTCAAGTTTCGTTTATTTGTCAGTTGGGAGATGTCTGAAAAAACGCAGGAGGTTAAAATGTCACTCAGTGCATATTTACCCAAGATTGTCATGGAAATTGAGTGTTCACTGTGAATAGTTGTATTGCAGTTCTCAGAGAGCCTGCTTGTGTAGAGAGAAACATAAATGATGCCTCTTTATGTTTACCGAGTTTGAGGCAGTTAGGCTTAATTGAATGGCTTTTTCAAAATATAGCTAAATTTGCCCCTTAACATCCCTTCAGGATGACAAACTCTGTCTTGGCTGGGAGAAAGAAGGTAATAACGGCTGACTTCATTCCTAATTATTTGCAAACCTTAAACCATTATACAAGATGTGCTTGTTGTTCTTTTATTGCATCTTCATCTCCGTCGAAGTGGAGGCACCATTCCAGTATTGCTGGTCTGGGATGTGGATCTAAGGTGGCTGTTTTCTCTGCCACAGATTGAGTGACCTTTCAGTATGTCATCCTTTAACTGAATTCCCTGTCTATATAAATGAGATCGCTGAGGATAAATCTATTCTAAAGTATAATATACTTGGAGGCTGAAGTGGGGAGCCCTTCCCATCACCACCGTTTCATTAATATTTTGCATTGTCAACCATGTTGGAAAGAGTCAAGAGAGTTTGCTAGGGGCTTCCCCCAAAGTGTATTTGTTCCTTGATATGTGTATTTCAAGTATTCCCCATTTAGGGTATATCTGTCCTGATCAACGTTGTGCTTCTGCATAAATTTCAATAAATCATAGTGGCAGAAGAGGGCATTCTCTTTCAAGCATGGGGAGAAATCTCATACTGGCATTGCTCCTACCGCCGTGGAAATGATAGCCTACCACAGGGATTCACTCTGCCATTCGAAGGAGCTCAGATTTGGTGCATATTATGCACATTGGGTGCAATCTGGTGCAGATTTGGCTGCTGTCACTCTTATGGAGGTGTATTGACAAGGCTGCATATATACTGTGCACCTCCAGTTCATAGCATAAGTGTAGAACGTAATGTTTTGAGAGAAGACACATTACACATTTAGCCCATATGGTTGTGCACATCAGCTGTGAAGAGTCTTAAAATTGCTTAATGCAGTCTTTGAAGCTGTTTCGGGCTCAGCTTCAGTGCGTGTACAAAGGGCACCCCTCACTCGCCCCCACCACTGAGGGATAATCACCAAACTGTATGTGGCATATTTTACATAGTTGGCAATTGCACAAGTTTTAGAAAAGTAAAGAGTAGGTGGGGATGGGGCTGTTGATATTGGGCTTCCAATGCCTGCTATTTGCATTGGTAGGAAATCTTCCATTAGTACCAGTGGAAGCATTTCTACTAATGCAAATAGTAGGCATGGGGTGGTGGTGTGTGAGCTGGATTTGGACCACAGTGGAAGTAAAGTGTTAAAAACCCCTATCACCAGGATCCAGGTCCTTCCCCCACAGATGCTATTTAAACTTCTTTTTAAAAATATGACTCATGTTTGCCCTAAGTAATCCTATCCATTCTCCACACATCTGGAACTGGGGGATGGAGAATGTTTCCAAGCTAGAGAGCTATGGACTTTTGAGTCCTGTAACCTGAGGTTTTCACATTGTTTCATGCTTAGCTCTATCTGTGACCTAGTGGTGTTCAGTAGGTTTTGGAAAAATAGGGTGGCATTAATAACCTTAGGCTTTCAGCATTTTGTTTGCTCTCTAAACCTTTTGTATGCAAAACTGCGCTTTCTTTGACACTCTTTCCCACTTAAAAGTTTTCCTTTTTTCAGTTAACCTCCTGTATAACTGGAACACTTTCATCACAAACATTTGATATTTGCTTCTGGTATGCAAGCGGTGCCATGGCAAAGGTCAAATGGTAAGGACTTTCTGCACATTCTAAGATACCTTGGCTGCTTCATAACATGCTCTGAAGAATGTTAATGGTTTTGCCAGTTGTACAGAGGAAACATCTATTATCCTTTCTGGAAATGATTTATAGTGAGCAACTGCAAGAAGCCGAGTGATTTATTGCTTATTGATCAATGAAAACATGCTCTGGTTTACAATGACCGGTATGTCTGCTGTGTTACAGGCCTTTGTGCTGGCGTCATTTGTCTTCTGAAAAAGTCAGTATCGTCTCTCCCTTTCCTCAAATAGTTGTATTTTTTCTCTTCCGAACTCTAATGTTGGACGGCATGTTGGTAGCTTAGAGTTGATAACGTATTCCTTCTCTAACTCTTGTCAATCCTTGTTTGGTGATTAGCTCCATCTAAAGTTCGGGCAACATAGAAACAAGACTTTTCCACAGGCACAGGGTCGTCACGGCCAAATCAGTAGCATTTATTTCATTCCACGTTTAATTTATATACTACCTTTTTATATTACTACACACAAGGTGGTTTACAAGCTGAAAAAACAAGAAAGATCAATATGATCCAAAGCAAAAATGTCATAATGGTAACATAACTTTAAAAAAAACAACTTGCGGTACATAAAATAAAGTAATATTCAGTAATCCATTAGAATATAATAGTACACAATAAAATAAAAAATAAGCAAATGATAACTAAACAGACATTCACTCTTAACAACTGCAATAAATAATTTATAAACTATAATCAATAAAATTAGCAAGTCACATGGCAGAAAAATAACACAATACAACTTGAGAAGCAAAGACATACTGGTACAACTTGTAAAATTACTATTTTTAAAAATGTCCCTGAACTCCTCTCTTCCCAGCTGCTTCTGATGTTCCTAAAATCATAGTTTGGGAAAGGCTCCTAAGGCTGCAGGGTGGGTGGAGGCAGGTGGAAAAAGCCATTGCCTGATGGGCAGCGGTATTCACATAGTGGC